ACGACTGCTCCGACGGTCACTCCGGTAATTGTTCCGGCGGTCGCTTCGACGACTGTTCCAAAGGCCGCTCCAGTGACTCAGAAATTTCCAGAAAATTAAAAATTGAAAATCACACCCCCACCCCCATGGATCCACCTACCACCATCCCATCCCTGCCTCCACATCCTAAAAAAATCATCGAAAAAAAAAANCTGCCTCCACCTCCTAAAAAAATTACAGGGGAAAAAAAATTTTGTGTTCAATGTGACTGTATGTGACTAATTCTGACCAAGTGTGTATTCAATGTGACTAACTGTGACAAAATTTGTGTTGAGTGTGACTACCTGTGACCAGGTCAATCTCAAGTCACAATTGGTCACAATCAAACAATTGAGAAAGCAACTAACCTTACCACCAACACAATTCCCATAACTCTAACTACTACTAAAACTCTAACAATTGGACAAGCCGTCAGCCACTCCTCCACTACTAACACCCTCACCATTCCACTACTAACCTAAACTCAAACACACAACCCCCGTCGCCACAGTTCTACCTTCAAATGAGCCATCTCTACAATCAGAAATGAGAATATCTACGAAAATGAAGGCCAAAGCAGTCACAAACACTCGTCCCACGCTCCACTGCCACCGACATCGCTACCAACCCAACCCACCTCGCCATCACAACCACACACAAATCACAAAACTACAATCGCCAGAAAAATCCAGCAGCGAAGCTCATCACCCAAAACCACAAACTACAGACATCACCGACGTTCAACTACAAATCACGACCCACAGTTCGACGGGTGGAAGTGGTTTGAAAATCGAACAACATCAATTGTTATTCGAAGTGATATTAAATATGAAGAGCTTGTCAATAAATTATTCGAAAACCTTGCAATGAAATTTCGAATCAACCTAAAATTTAAAGTTCCGAACATGAATGTACCTCCCCCCTGATGTAATTACAGTTGATTGATTGACATTTGTTTGACATCATAAACCTTGTGCTTGTCATGTGAATAGTAAATTTGTATTTATTACCAACATGATTTGATTGAAGTCAGCATAATACCTCACTACACTAATCATTAGAACTTTTTGTTAATGACGATGGATTTATAACCCACCTTTGATTGAAATCTTATTGAGGAACTTCTACATCTAATTGATTCCACTCAGTCCTCGACTTTTTACGTTTTCGTCATTTCAAAAGTTATCGACATTTGGTCTCTGTTTATCACAACACTTGACATTTCATGTATCTAAATCGAGATTTCATTCCATTTCCGTCAGTTCTATACATTTCTCGACATTTGAAACATTGTTCTCGACATTAAATACTTGTTATTCTCGACAATTGATATTTAAACTACCGGAATGACAATTCGTAAATTGTACACAATATAATACCTAAACATCATGCAAGAAGTGAAACAAATACTATTATCTCCATTTCAATTCTACATTCACACTAAGAATTAAACCATCAACTAAAACATCTGCCTAATGATGGTGTACAAAATGACGTTGCAAAAGGTTTTTTCCAAAATGCACGATGGTATGCACCACCAATATTATAAACTAACTATGCATCCCTCTTACCCATTCTACTACCAGACAGTGTGAGAGGAGCCCGCGTGTTAGCACGGGCATCCTGACCCTGACAGATTGAGATCGAGATGGTGGTGGAACATTGACTGTAGGAAGATATGCGATGGTGTCAACCACATCTGAGAACTTTCTGGACAAGTCATTGACGTTGCAAGCATCTATTTCAAATGCCTCGACATCCTGTCCATCAGCCGCAGCCTTAGACAATGACAATTCATCAAAATCATCACGTTCAAACACATCTTCATCGCCCAAATCAACCATAGTTATCACTCACATTGTGTCCCCCAATTTCTATAACTACATCATCGAACCTACGTTTCATCTTACTTATCTAATCTGTCATGTGGTCCTTCATGCTTCACACAACAAACCAGGTAAGATGGAGAAGTAAAGAATAACAATGAAACCCAACATCTATGATACAAAAGGATGATTTCAGCGTGTTGAAAAACCCAACTGCATGAATTTCAGAAGTCTAAACATCAGAATTTGATACACTTGTAAGTCCTTGCAAAAACAAAAAACAAAAAATTGGTAATTTTTCAATTTTAATAGTCTTCTAGATGCCTAAATTTAATTTCCATATTAAGGAGCACTACAAATTTCCATATTAAGGAGCACTAAAATAACATGGTTTATTATATTTATGTCTATGTCAAGCTTCAATCTGCCCCGACACTTAAAACAACAAGTTTTAGATAATAAAAAAATAGAATCTTAATATCGACAGAGGTTTAGAGACACCAAGCTCCTAAACATGAATGTTAATATTGACTGATTTATCCCCCATACAAGATTAGACCTATAATTCACTTGTTGCTTCTGAGCATCCAAATTTAACTGTATTATCAATTGAGTGTTCAAAATCAATTGTAAAACAAAAAATAGGAAGATAAATGTACTTTAATAATTACAGAGATCTAAACTAACCAAGACAATATTACCCTCTTGTTTGTTAAAACATAATTTTAAAGAGGAATAACGTGAACTTCATAATCTCCAATTGGATGATCTACAGAACTAGTAAATCAAATTAAAACAACTATACTAAGTAACAAATCAAACAGTTAACTAAGTAATTAACAAATTAATTAAATGAAAACAATAATTATAGTGACAGACGATTCAAGAAGTTTAATAAGCAAGAATTCTTTAATTTTTAACTTAAAGAAAAAAGACTTAACAACAATCTCAAGAATAGAACACTCTCCCATCCCACCCCCAACAAATCATTCTTGAGCTGTAAAGCAGGAGCAAAGAAAATAATAATTAATGGCAGACAACAGGGAAGAAGATGCAAGGGTTGGAGCCAGCGAGTTCATATCGCAATGGGGGAGAACTAGGAAACATAGACAAATAGTTGTCAGATTCATTATCCAATCAGTGGGCTTAAGTGGTTCCCATATTACTTAATGGGCTGGTATTTGTTGTGACCTGGTTAGGCATTGATTTTCAAAATTCAAATGGGTTCCTTTCTTGGTACTCAACTCCTTTGTTGTTTTACAATCGTCGGAAAACCCCAGCAGCAAAGCTCATCACCCAAAACCGCAAACTTCAGACATCTCCGGCGCGCAACTACAAATCACAACCCACAGTTCGAGGGGTGGAAGTGGTTTGAAAACCGAACAACATCAATTGTTATTCGAAGTGATAGTAAATATGAAGAGCTTGTCAATAAATTATTCGAAAACCTTGCAATGAAATTTCGTATCAACCTAAAATTTAAAGTTCCGAACATGAATGTACCTCCCCCCTGATGTAATTACAGTTGATTGATTGACATTTGTTTGACATCATAAACCTTGCGCTTGTCATGTGAATAGTAAGTTTGTATTTATTACCAACATGATTTGATTGAAGTCAGCATAATACCTCACTACACTAATCATTAGAACTTTTTGTTAATGACGAAGGATTTATAACACATCTTTGATTGAAATCTTATTGAGAAACTTCTACATCTAATTGATTCCACTCAGTCCTCGACTTTTTACGTTTTCGTCATTTCAAAAGTTATCGACATTTGGTCTCTGTTTATCACAACACTTGACATTTCATGCATCTAAAACGAGATTTCATTCCATTTCTGTCAGTTCTATACATTTCTCGACATTTGAAACATTGTTCTCGACATTAAATACTTGTTATTCTCGACAATTGGTATTTAAACTACCGGAATGACAATTCGTAAATTGTACACAATATAATACCTAAACAACATGCAAGAAGTGAAACAAATACTATTGTCTTCATTTCAATTCTACATTCACACTAATAATTAAACCATCAACTAAAACATCT